GTTCTTGCTGAAAAAGTTATCAAATTAGATTAGGTATTTGGCTGATAATCAAGTTTGCTCAGTTCACACATAGGATCGGATTCCCTTTATGTGAAGAATTTGATAACTCCCAGATTATTTTATTCATTTGACTTTAAAATTCAAGTACAGATCCTGGGAAGAGAAGGGCAGGGAACAAACATGGCCACTTGCCTAAGTATGACAAATTTTCGATCATCTGCTATACACAAGATTCCATGATTATTGTCAACTTGTATTAACCTCGAGAAATTGAAGTGTTGTTGACGTAACACTATTTTTTATAACATTAAAAACAAACAACATTTTTTAAAATGTGACGACTCTTGTTTAATTATGTCACTCACTAAATAATTACGCTTTTGTTAAGTGTTGTTATATGCATAAAAATGGTGACACAATTGTACAAGTGTCATAATGTAATTACACTTTGAGGTAAAAGTTGTCATATCAGTAAAAATTGTGACATTTTATAAAAAAGCGACATTATTTTAATACACTTTTTTTAAATGTGTCGTCATATAACTAAACATGACGACACTTTTTTATAAAACGTCATAATTTAATTACATTTATGCATAAAAATGGTGACACAATTGTACAAGTGTCATAATGTAATTACACTTTGAGGTAAATGTTGTCATATCAGTACAAATTGTGACAATTTAATAAAAAAGCAACATTATTTTAATACACTTTTTAATATGTGTCGCCATATAACTAAACATGACGACACTTTTTTATAAAATGTCATAATTTAATTACACTTTTAAATAAATGTTTCAATATTGGTTAACACGGTGACACTTTTTAAAAAGTGACATGATTTAATTACATTTAAAAAAAAAATGTTGTTAAAATTTTATCCTTGGAACACTTTTTAAAAAGTGACATGATTTAATTACATTTAAAAAAAAAATATTGTTAAAATTTTATCCTTGGAATACTTTTTAAAAAGTGTCACCAAAACGTCAATTTTAATTACACTTATTAAAATGGTTACTACATTTATGTTGTTAGAAGACCTTTTTGTTGTAGTGTGCTAATTGTACATTTACTATTGCTATGCGACTTATTGGCAGCGGCGGCTCCGCAGCTGCTAGTCCCACCAAAAAGGAATCGCCAGCGAGCTACGACAATGATGAGATCGGCAGACCTAGTCATGAACGAACAATTGAGAACACCAGAACATTCTAATTAATCTATGAACTGTAAAAGAACTATTGCCAAATTATGGAATCACCAAAGTCGCTTTATTTACTTTATCAATCATAATTTTCTTTAACAAACATAAATACATTTATACGTACATGTATAAATTTTTTAATGTTCGATTATAATAAAGTACAAAATTTTAAGTAAAATAATATTTTCTACAACTTTCCCTTATTTATAACACCATAATATATAAAATGTGAGTTGAATGCACTTTCAGTCTCACATCTCATCCATCAATAAAGAATACATATTATTCATCCATTTCATGTTACCGTATTTTTTAACAGTTTTCCTTTACTAAATATCAATCATTACTACTAATTTATCTATAAAATCTAATAAATATTCATCCACCCACATTTTCATAATCAAAACCAAACAATAATTATTTTACTATTTACCTATCACATTTTAATTAATTTTTATTTTTTATATCACCTCAAATATAACAACAATCATTAACTATTTGAATAGAAAAAATTACACCAAATAAATGTATCCAATAAAGGTTATATATCCAATATTTACTCTTATATACTTACGGATAATATCATCTAGCACTTCACAGTTCACACACACATCCTCACGTAATTTCTAGTTATCAGTTTCAGTTGTGTTCCCGTGTCATAGCCCAAAATATTCTCATTAATTTTGACAGCCAACAATGAAGGAAAATCTGATTAACATCAACGGATTTCACAAGACCGACCCCGAATCTGCATCCCTATGGAAATGGAAACAGATCGATTTTCGAACCAAAAATTCCGAAAACAGGATGTACAGGGTTCCCGAATTTTTCCAAGAAACCAGTCAGAAGACAAACGACGTCGTACTTGGTCCCGGAGTTGGCGCCGGAATCGGCTGCGGCGTCGGATTGGGTCTAGGAGTTGTCGGAGCCGCCGGTCTCGGCGGCACCGCGTGGAACCAGCTGACGGCGGTTTTCGGAATTGGGATCGGATGCGGAGCGGGAATTGGGGTCGGGTACGGGCAGGGTTTTGGGGGAGGGTTCAGCTTAGAATCACTTCGATCTTATCTGATGGATCCGAAACGGAAATACAAGAAGCGGGTCAGTGTTCAGATCTGATATTATTTTTTTTGGTACTATTTTNTCCGGTAATTTTGCTATTTTTTTCTCGAATGTGGTTATATGCATATATTGGGGTTACGACTGTGCAGCCGGGCGAATCTTTGTTTTAATTAATGTTGTAATACATAAATGTTGAATTGTACATTATGTTAGAATAACTAGATTGTCTGCACAACCACTGTAATTTGCTGTGTATTTAGTCTGTAATTCCATTTGTTAATCCACAATTATTAGTCATCATTTTATATTTCTTGGTTTCCATTTTTTTTGGTTTTCATCGAAGTCACTATTACATATTAACGTTGAGACAACATAATTTTAAGAAGTGGTTGTCTATGACTATTTTGTCACCCAATATTAATTTTAAGAAGTGGTTGTTTATGACTACTTTGTCAACCAACGCAACAATAATTTGCGGTATTTTGTCGATCTGTCGCGCTTCCAATCACACTAATCTTTAAGTTCATGGTTTCATATGAAGTTCCTCAGCTGCTGACTCCGATGGCATATGTAAGTAATCTCATTCTTTAAGCACTTATTATAATGCAACCTTTTTCTTGAAAGATTGATCATTCGTAGTTTGGAACGTTTGGAATGTTTGCTAAACTACTTGGCTGAATCGACCAAGTAATTGTTACAAACTTGAGGGCTTTGGATGATTGATATGCTCATTTGATATGAATAACCATATATAGAGCTCTTCATGGGCCATATGGGCATGTCGCCTTGATAAACTTAATACTCCGGTTCAAACTCAAGGTGGAGCTATCCACCATAAAAACACAGAATGTTCAGAAAAAGAATACATAATTTACCAAACCACTTAAATTATCCTACCTTTCTCTTCATCTCTTTCAGCATGTTCTCAAAGCCAGCTTATTGAGCACCAAGCGTCTCCAATCGCCTCTGGAAACACACACAATCATTGACAATTTAGTCTTGGTCACAATTAAATGATCTCGAAGGAAATAAAAGTTCAGGAATCTCAATTACAACCCATAAGCTACCCACAATTGATCGTATTCCGCTCTCTAAATGTTCTGTTCATACTGTTTTTCATAAGAATTTTGAGTAATAAATACACCACAGGTAAACAATCTCTCTGTGAAAACATTCTAAACCACAATACGTAACCACTTAATCTCCATGCCCAAGTTAGAAAAGTAACCGTTTTATCCAAATCCCCCATAAGTTGAATAACAAGATTTTTGTACCTTCTGAATGAAAATTTTCAACTTTTATTTGAAAGTCAAAGCAGTTGATAGGAAAAAAATTCTCTCTTAGGGAGCGAAAATTCTCTTTGAGGGGAACGATCGATTTCTCTTAGGGAGAGGATAAATTCCATCGGGGGTTGGGGTGTATTCCATCGGAGGTTGGCTCATCTTCTCAGACATTGTCTCAAACTTAGCTCTCTCGCAATTAGGGTTTTGAGTCGAAAATGGAGTCTGATGCTCCTGAAGCATCAAACCCTGTGACGGATACAAAGGACCTTGGTTGTCGTCTTCAAAGCATAGCACTATCAGAATCAGAAAATTGCATCATCGACGTAAAAGATGAGGACATCAAAATCAGCGCAGCGGAATGTAAGCGGAGTTTATTTGGTAGAACCCCTGGGGACAGAAAGACCAGTTTGATTGGTATTCGGAGAACAATGGGCTCCATATGGCAGATCCAGAATCAAATGAAAGTTAAGGAATTGAAGACAAAATTTTTCCAATTCCTGTTTGGCACCGTAGAGGATAAGAACAAGGTTATGCAAGGAACACATTGGGTCTTCGAGAATCAGTACCTGATCATGGCAGAGTGGGAAGAGGGGATGACAGAAAAGCATCAAAGATTCTCAGAATTGCAACTGCGGGTGCAACTAAGTAGCATTCCTATAAATTGGCTCTGTACTGAAGTTGGTCTTAAAGTTGGGAAAGCTTTTTTGCAAGTTAAAAATGCTTCAGTGATTAAAGCTGGAGGACAAAGAGGTAGTTTTCTGAGAATATTGGTCGTGGTTGATGTGACCAAGCCTCTACCTAGAGTTGTTTGTCTTAAGCTTCATGTCACTCAGATTAGGGCCATTTTCCAGTATGAGAAATTGGTTAATGCATGTTATTACTGTGGGCATATTGGCCATTTGGAAAGAGCTTGCAGCAAAAAGGTATATGATATTGCTAAAGGGACACTTAATGATGGACAGTATGGTGAATGGCTCAGAGCTGTTGATGGGCAGTATGGATATAAAACTAGGAATCAGTCTGCTGAATATAATGTCCCCAGTTAGGATACAAACTTAGATCCCCAGGAAAGACACACTGGTTTTAATTAAGAGGGAAGTGGAGTGAAATCTGGTTTTGGAAAGGAAATTAGTGTGGCAGAGAATGCAAATCAAGGTGATCTCATGGGTAAAGGGAAAGAAGTTTGTTTGGCAGATAACTCAGCGAATGTAGCACAAAATTCTACTGCTATGTTAATCCTATCTATGGAGAAGGACATGATTCCAGCTCTTCCAACCATCTCTACTCAGAATTTGGCAGATCAAGGAGATCAAGAAATGATCATTACTCAAAGGAAGAGAGGATGGACCAGAAGGGCCATTGCTACAGGCTCTCAAAGCAATAGAACATTAAGAAGCAATGCTACCAAAAAAGAAACTCAGCCTAGAGGAAGAAAGAGAGCTCTTATCATTGGAGAAGCAGATGAACCAGACATGGAACCAGATCTAAGGGGAAATAAGAAGCTGAAGAATGACTCATTGGAGGTGAGGGTGGCCAGCCTTGAGTGGCCCCCACTTGACCAATGAAGCTAATAATGTGGAATTGTAGAGGGTTGGGTGGGCCCTCCACAATTTCACAGCTGAAGGAGGCTACCAGGCTCCACCACCCAGATTTTGTCTTTATTTCTGAAAAAAAAAATCTCATAATTTTGTTAA